GCACACTAACATCCACATATATAGGAAAAACCCCCTAATGTTTTTGCATTTCTAGATATTTTAAGGTCCTCTGAGTCTAAAAATGTAAAAATCTGGGGAGTCATTTTTTGACCGATTGCCATACTTTCCCTCTGTTATATATAACAGCCTGAAAAGTAAAAATGTAAAATGACGCTTTCACGAAATAGGAAATTCAAAATTGATATATTAATTGAAATAAGCAGAAAGTTTCTCTAAATTATAAAATCATGTGTGCATAACGGCAGGACCTAATTTAGACCTTGGCGGGCCCTAGGCAAAATAATATTTACGGGCCCCTTTACAAATTTTGTATTACTACAAATATAAATGAAATTGTAATATTTAAAATTGAAGTATTTTTATTTTTACATTTGAATATCTTGCATTGTATTTTGGGGGCTACAATAAAATTATGCAGCGATAAACATTATATTTTTCTCAACAAACACTGCTTTATTCTGAACTTCATCGAACAGATCTAATTCGCATATACAAGCATTATCTAATTTTCAGTGATGTTATATGTCGGAGCAGTAGGTAATGTCATTCTTAATTATTAACCCTTGAATATGGCGCTAATAATATAGTAATTCGCAATACTAATAAAACAATGGCATGTTTAGAACCTATTACGGGCCCCGGGCAAGTGCCTTGCCTGCCTTGTGCCAAATTAGGCATAACGGAATAGACCAGACGTCCGGATGACCGAGCAATTAAGATATCTTACCGCTTTGAGGGATCCGAGAACAAATCCAGGCGGGTCGAAAATTTAGGGATTTTTCAGGAGATAATCCGTCCCGGATATGTTCGGTCCTATCCGTCACCACCCGACCGAACCCACGATATACTTGATTAAAATGTCCTCCTTGTGCACACAAAGAAAGAAAAATAAATAGTGGAATGTCCTGTCCCTAATGACGAGATCCTTATTTCAATTCAGAAATTTTTCCTGAAAGGTGTTAGATGACCAGCACGACTTTATTGTTAAAGGAAAAGTATAATGTACTGTACTGTACAGGGACAAGACACTACAGTACTAATTTGAGGTGGAGAGCATATATTTTAAATTAAATTAAAAATATGATTAAAAATTGCAGCCTGGAATTGTGACAATGTCACAATAAATAATCGCTCTTTCAAAGTAGATGGTTTTTCACAACATAAAAACCATCTAATTTGAATTTGATTTATTTATTAATACAAAATATTCCCTGCAGGCACTTCCTTGGCAAAGTGTCCTTGTGTTGACTAGCCTTATGTCATCAAACAAACAATTGTATCAAGATTTATTAATATAAATATATTTATTTAAAAGGCATTTAACTTATCAGTGGCCGAGTGGATAAAACCACCGAACAGTAGTAGTTAGTTATGCGTTCGCTTCTCAGCAACGGGCTGGCCACGTGGAGTTTTCCGTGTTTTCTTCACGTTAGTAACACTTATATAGGGGCCAGTTTTCCATAAAATACCTACCGGGATGCATTCCTTTTAGCGGATCGCCCGTGTATCTTGTTGCAGTATACTAATAAAACCAAAAATTATTATTTCAAAGCAATAATCATATTTATTTTTGAGAATATATAGTTTTTTTTTCTTTTAATATCCGTAGTCGTCTCTATAATATACGAGATATTCCTTTCTAGGTCCGTATAGTCAGATGACTCGATGACCGAGACAGTGAAGACGTAAGTCTGTCACTCAGGACAGACCCGCATTCGAGTCTAAATAGAAAACGTGTATTAGATTGACCCGAATACATCAGGCTCTGTTCTTCAATTCAGTTATTCCTATAGTGGATATGGTTGATCATCATGGATATATAAAAGCAAATCTTAATGCATGCTGAGGCCATATTCTGATCACTGTCTCAGGGGCCATATTCTGGTCACTGTCTCTGGTCTCTCGTCTCTCGCAAGCCGGTCGCTGATTGGCTAATCATTTGGATTAGCCAATCAGCGACCGGCTTGCGAGAGATGAGAGACCAGAGACAGTGACCAGAATACAGCCCCTGCAGGGCATGAAAGATTTTGAAATAATTTTTTATTTATAATATAAGAACTCCTTTATTCCTATCTTACTTCACCTGCGAATGTTAAGAGACGTTTTATCATTTCCGTTCTTAGACGATGAGAAATTCTAATATATCAATATCAAATCATCTATGACAATTCCTGAGCTACCTGGACTCGAACCCGGATCCCAAAGCTTGCAGTCTGGTGCGTTTATTAACAGGATTGTTCTGCCATATGTATATAGGATTATTTATTTATTTATTTTCAAAGGAGAAAAAGAGGCTATGTCTCGTAGACAATAAGTGCCTCCCCCGGTACAACAATTAGATAAAATACCTAAACGGTGATGGATGAGATGCGAATGTCGATATATTGTGAAGGGAATAAGCCATTAAAATATTTATAAGTATATATTTGATCAAAGTATTGTATATATTTGATAAGGGATAAATCTAAACGGGAACGGGATAAGTCGGCTGAGTCTGTAAAAAGTAGGTGAGAAAGTATGTATATTTTAGACAGTGCAGCGAGGAAAGCTTATCAAGAAGTATATTTGGAAGAACGGAGTCAAATGCTTTGGTTATGTTCTATAAACTACGTTTTAATTCAGAATTGTTTAAAATTGCATGTTGGACTTCTAGAAGATTACTAGTGGTGGAACTATGGTTTATACCGGAGTGTTGAGCAGGGAGATGCGCGAATTAATTGGATAATACAAGCAGATAAATAGTTTCGGCAAAGCTGGAGCAAGAAAAAAGGGGAGTAGTCAGTTTTTAGGCATTATGGAGACTATAGATTGCGTTCACTGTGAAGGTATAAACACTGTGATCCAGTAGGGTAGCTTGCATGGGTGGCACCCGGTGCGGATATCGTAGTGTCACCCCAAGAATGAAAACTGTTAAAATTAATAAAAATCCGATAAACTTTACGTAAAGTATGATTTTATTTAATTAATACAATTAATAAGAGTCATTAATTATCAAGTTACAATATTATGATAATAATAGTACAATTTTATTAAACATTCTTTCACATTGATGTATGAAAGTGAAAGTTGGGTATGGCAAAAGAAGAATGAGAGTAGAATTAATATACTCTCATATACATATTATGTACAAACACTTCAAAGCTCTTCTTTCTAGCTTTAACAGCTGCAAAGTCGGAAATAACATTTTCAAAATTTATATTTTGTGTTGACTCGTATTCTATTGTTAATATGCCAATATTGTTAAGTCATTTGGGTCATTGTTGCCCGAAAGTAATTTTTAATTAATTTTTAGTTTGCTGAAACTCCTCTCACACGAAGCAACTGATACGCAAATTGTCAGAAATAACTTTAACATAAGATTCGGAAGAGATTCTGTAAAATTAAATTATTTAATACAGATAATTTGGTTAAAATGGCTTCAAGCCTAAGTGATTTATCGTTGAAAAACATTGTGATGGTTTGTTTAAGTTGTTATTTTTTCACGGTCGGGTGTCACCCCTAAGCGGGTGACACCCGGTGCGGGCCGCCCCCGCCGCCCTCCCCTAGCTAGCTACTCAACTGCCGTAATCAAGAATCAACGGTTTAAAGTGTGAGTTAGGGAGTGTATATTAAAAAATCGGGATTTAACATTATTATAGACATTATTATAACAAAGCATAAGTGATCTGCTAAGGGACGTTTCCCAGAAGACTATGTATGAAAAACTGGCCCTATTTAGAATAACTTATAAAACCTGGAAAACCTCACGAGGCCAGTCCGTTGGTAAACTCGCCATCAGTTAGAAGTTTTGCTTAGAAGTTTTATCCACTGTCATTTTTTTACAACAGAAAAAATTCTGTTCTAAGATCGAAAGTTACTATACTAATAAAAATGCTCGAAAATTATCACATGTTTAATAAATTGTTACTTAAATTTATGAAAATTAAAAAAATTTAACAAAGTCACTTCTCTTTGCTTCTTTACTGGATGATTAAGCAACGTAAAATAAATTCTAATTGGAGGTAAAATTCGGGTGAGTTAAAAAGCATGTTTGCATGTTGTACGTGGTTTGTGTACTGAACTACTATTCTTAGCGCAAACTGCTTGAGAACGAATTGAAAGTAAAAAGATGGAGTTGACAGACCATTAGATAAAAAGATTCTGCTATTACTACAAGCATTGAGCCGTTTTTTTCCCGTAACTCCGCGCGCNATGTTTAATAAGTAGAAACTGATATAACTAAGAAAAGATTGTAAGCCTCTTGAAACCTTAACTAGAAAAATTTTCTTTATTTAATGCAAAGGTAAATTAAAAACCAGTTTCTATTAATTTTAATATTTTATTTTAGAATACAGTAAGGATATGAGAACTATATTTAATAGAAAATGCAGAAAAAGCTTTACCATATGGTGATCATAACATTTTATTTCTGAATGTTATTGAAGTTGTCAAAAACTGTTAAATTCTCAAATTATTAGTCTGAGGTTTTAATACATTTTTGTTCTTGAAATTTTATCATCTTAAAATCTGGCAAATTTGCATTTACTTTCAATTTAAAATATGTTAGGATTTCATTTGCAGTAATAAATTTGAATATATTTTATATACAGTTGATTAGTATACTAAAATTAAAAATACACTGAAATTTGTGTAGCAAACTAAATATTTCTATTTAGTTATATCATAATACACGTGAGATAAAATTATTTATATTATAGTATTAAAAATTACGTCATTCCAAGATGGCGGACTACAGTTAGTTGTTTGTTGTTAATCACACGATGCTTCGTGTTTACAAAGGTAATCGTGCTGTTTAATATAGATACACAGTGTTTAACAACGTCACAGATGGTGTTAGTTTTGTATATATGAAAGGTTTATATTTGTGCAATTAAATTAATATGTATTTTTTTTCATATTTATCTGTTCTGCGTTAAAAGACAGACTTAAAAGATTATTAATACAGTAAATCATAATAATGCTTATATTTTCATGTCATTCCATTGTAACTGTGCTTTGCTCTGCAAATAATGTAAAACAATACTTGCAGCTACAAAGGTGTATTAGTTTCATGTCTGTACTACATTTCAATAATATGGTGTTAATATCTCTTAAGTGTGATCAGTTATCATTATGTGAAATAATTTATAAAGTTCATCAAAATTCAATACTCGAGTAAAATTTATTTGATCCTTTGGGAAAAGACACAAAATTGCTGCATCGAACTTATTGTACAGGAACGCATTTGATGAAGAGAATAGACTTTATTTCGTATTGCATATTATTTACTTGATCGTGTTTTATTATACTGTATTGTTTAAGGGTGTATCACACATTGTGGCTATTTATCTCATTTAGTATTGATATATATCTAGTTATAACCTTAGATAACAATTTTTTATGTCTTCTAGACTGAACACCATTACTAAACCTTTAATTCTGGTAATGTAGCATTTAATACAATATCGAACTAATGCTTTCTATCTTACCCAAGATCTGCTTCGGATTCTTAAACAAATTGTATTCCAAAAATGTTTGTTTGTACCGGTAATTAAACTAGAAGTTATCTTCTAGACTGTCTTAAAATGCATTTTGGCTACAACACCGCGGCCCTCTTCGGTCAGGTTATTTTGGTCGAGTAATATTTTCAAATAACGGAAGTAATGCATTTACAGCAACAAACCTGTTAGTACTGGATAAGGCTGCTAGCTTTTGGAATAAAGGATTGTCCTTTATTTTACCTAAACTGTCCTTGTCCTTTAACAAAATGAGAAAAGACATAATTTTCCTTTTTCATCTTTCAATGCCCATTTCGTAATGACAGTGGTAGATTTATACACTGGCACATGCTATTCTTATATATAAATCCATATCCTTTCTCATAGAGTGCTAAGGTTTACTATTAAATATTTTAAATTCTATAATTTAAAATATTGCTATAATTTTTAATTTAAAATTATAAACAGAATGTTTAGTTATTAACTAAAAAATCATTCAATTTACTTTTCTGGAGTGAGATGGGATAGAGTAAAAGTTGGAAAGTGGTAAAATTAATTAATAATTTTTTAATTGCCCTTTAATTCAATTGTAGAAATCTGGCAACTTATGATCTGGATATGCATTACATCCATTGTTGATATGAAAATGATATTTGTGTTTGGATAGAATTTTGTTATGAAATCATAAATTTACATTAAGATTTTTAAAGATAATACAATTAATTTATAATTTAAAAAATATTAGTTGTTAAAAATATTGTTACTATAGTATTAATTCAGAGATAAGTATATATAAAACAACACTGTTATCAGTACTTAGATACATAACTACAGTTATTGGCTCTTAGATACTGTACACACAGCAGTCAGTACCTTCTGTGCTATGCAATTTATATTATCTATGTTACCGTATGCTCTACATAATCAATTTTCATTCATTTTCATTGATGTTTCAATAAAATAATAAGGTGTTAACCTCTTCAGATGATTTAATTATTACATCATGATGCTATTAATTTGGATTCTAAATTACAGTTATTTATAACAGTTAAAATGAGACTAAAATTAATTTATGATGATCAAATGTTTAATAAGTAGAAACTGATATAACTAAGAAAAGATTGTAAGCCTCTTGAAACCTTAACTAGAAAAATTTTCTTTATTTAATGCAAAGGTAAATTAAAAACCAGTTTCTATTAATTTTAATATTTTATTTTAGAATACAGTAAGGATATGAGAACTATATTTAATAGAAAATGCAGAAAAAGCTTTACCATATGGTGATCATAACATTTTATTTCTGAATGTTATTGAAGTTGTCAAAAACTGTTAAATTCTCAAATTATTAGTCTGAGGTTTTAATACATTTTTGTTCTTGAAATTTTATCATCTTAAAATCTGGCAAATTTGCATTTACTTTCAATTTAAAATATGTTAGGATTTCATTTGCAGTAATAAATTTGAATATATTTTATATACAGTTGATTAGTATACTAAAATTAAAAATACACTGAAATTTGTGTAGCAAACTAAATATTTCTATTTAGTTATATCATCATTTACTACACAATTTTGTATAGTGGATAAGCTCAGTTTATTGAAAAATTTATAAGTACTAAAAATTTAGGTGAAAATATGCACAATAATATCTTTACTTTATTGTCAGCAATTTATATGTATCAATAAATTAGATTGAAATATAAATAATTCTATATGTTGTAATCTCTTACAATATTGCATGATTATTTAAATCATTAAAACTGTTTACTGAGATATTATTATTAAAAAAAAAACAAATGTTAATCAAACTACTATTAATAAATATTAGGATAAGATTACAAATGATATAGTTTGAGAATGACAATTTTTACTTCTAGTTACAAAATCAGAAATTAAAGCAATATTACTTTATAATTCCAAAAGTGATAACTATATTTTGTTAAAATAAGTACCAAAAACAGATTGCTTTATATATAGTATGTTTCTAATATTAATGTTTAGAATCATAGTTTGTATAAATTTTAAAATAATATCAGAACTCATAATACAAAGGTCATCCAGAAAGTAATACTTGTTTGTTCATAGATAGTGTTGAGAGCAACAGATATCAAGCAGACAAGGTTTACTATCCTCAATCACATATGTGTATGCTTTACTCAAAGTAACTTATGTGTCGATCAGTTGTATGGTTGCTGTGCATTGTTAAAATGGCAGCAAAAATTGATAATTCTGTGGCATATGAAGTGCATGTTGTTATTCAGTTTCTGAATGCCAAAAATATTCATCCAAAGGATATTCATTGTCACATTATAGCAGTATGGTGGTATTTTGATAGGCTTCATAGGACATTCAAAACAAACAGTGGAATGTGGTGATGCATGTCCTCACAGGGCTTGGCAGAACAACACCTGTTTTGACACTTCAAATGGCATGTTCTGCACCATCCTGCCTACTGTCCAGACTTGGCTCCCAGTGACTATCACCTTTTTAAGAAATTGAAGGAGTTTCTAGGATTAAAGTGCTTTACCAGTGCTGATGAATTGAAAAATGATGTCACACAGTGGTTAAAGCACTTGGCAGCAGAGGTCTACAATGACAAGCATTCAAAAACTTGTCACAAGATACAAGTGCTTAAACAGCATTGATGATTATATCGAAAAGTGACTAAATTGATATGTAATATGGCAAATAAAAAATTTGAATAAGTAAATTTGTTTTGTGATTATGGGCAAACACGTATTACTTTCAGGACAACCAACCCTTGTAATGAAATTTTTAATGGACTATTTGATGAATAACATACTTGTAGAAGCTCATTAACCCTGAAATAACATTTCTGAAATAACAAATCCTAGAAATGAATGCATAAAATGAAAAGATATAGTAGTTAAAGAGAGTATGTAAAAATTTATGATGTATTTTTTAAAAATATGCTTGAAATTAACATTTAAAAAATATTCACATTCCCTAATTAAATCATTGATTCTGTAATAAGAGATCATTGAGTAATAGGTGCTGAATTCAATTTGTAATTAATTATACTTAGTTGGGGATATTTTGTTAATTGGAACATAGAAACATCAAACAGTGTGTCCAAAATGTTAGTGTGCAATGAGAGATTTGTGTAATGACATTAAAGTTATATGTATAGCATTGCATGAGAGACCTGTAAATTGTATGTCTGGTGTTTCAGTTTTGCAATAGGTGGCATTTCTGTTTTCTCACAGATGTTCTGGTTTTTGGACTGTAGTTTTTGGAAGCTTTCTTTGCTGATTGTATAATCTCCAGTGGAGTCTGGCCTGCTAGGTCTCCAGATTGCATTCTTCCAGATTTTGGGGCATTTCTAGTATTTTCTTTAAGAGAAATTGTAATATGATATGTAAACTTCAACTTTTATTAAAATTTTTTTTAAACCTTCCACAACACAGTAACTTTTTGGATATCCTATACTTAAAATATAAATCTGTTAAAATATTTTATACTGTATTGAATATGATAATAAGAATAATGATTTTTTTAATACAATGATTAAAATATATTTGTTTAGAATAAAAGAATTATGGGACAGAATCCCAGCTCTTCATTTGATTTAAATGAACTGAAAGATGATGTTTGCCGAGGAACTCAAACATTAAAAGAACTTGCTGTTATATCTTATGACGAATTCCTTGAAAAAGTTAAAGAATTAAACCGCATGTAAGTATTTTCTAGAATTTTTTTTTAAGTTTTTTTCTAAATTTAACCATGTTGTAGGCCTATTATATCCAATTTTATCCAATTTTTTGATCTTCTAACAAACAGTATAAATATAGAATTCACTGATGATGAGTATGTATTTGTGACTTTTCTACTATAAATTAATTGATAATGTGATTTTACCCTTGATCAGTAATATCTATGTTGTATTCCTACAATAATTTTTGCTTCAGACAACATTGAGAACAACTTTTAAGTAATCCATTATTAATGATATTAATTATAAAATTTATCTTAACCCCTCCCTCCCTTCTAGTATTTCCACCCTGTTTTTTTGTTATTAAATCAATTTAAGATTCATTATTTGTATACAAGGTAGAGATTTTTTCATCATTAATACTTTATGCAAAGCTCTGGAAACTATAGTCTATCAGTGTGGCATAATTGATAAGATTAGCATTGCTAGTGTTATCAATTTGAAAATAGTTACCGATAAATTTTTAAAATAAAAATTACTTTTTTTCTTATTTTCAAATTACTTTGCAGTGAAAAATGTTATAGGTGAAAGTTATTGGAGTCAATACTTCTGTCTGTCATATATTTAGCTTAGAAAATAATAATCTATATTAACAAATTATTTTGATAGATTATTGGAGTCAATACTTCTGTCTGTCATATATTTAGCTTAGAAAATAATAATCTATATTAACAAATTTTTCAATATAATCAAATATATCTTGTAACAAAAGTATTTTGAATGAACAATTAAAAACCAAATTGCATGAAACATATTTATTCAAAGTAAGTACAAGATTTGAAAACATTATTATTTATATTTCAGAAATATCTTTTGGATAATTTTTGCTTAAACAATTGAAAATTTTAAGACAGGAACAAAAGTATTATGGAAATTATACACTTTAGATTTAATATTTTATAAAATATATTGGGACCAGATAGTTTTTGTTTTAGCTTTTTGGTCAAGCATTGGTTTATGCATTAGTATATATGTTTTGGATAGTATTTATTTGCAATTGACTGGTGACAAATTAATATCATTCTAAGAAAAGAATAGCTGGAACAAATCTAAAAAGTGTCAGATATATATATTTTGTAACAAACTATATATATATATATATATTATATAGTTTGTTACAAAATCCAAGATTTGTGAAATTTTACATTTCTTAGATTTATATCATCTAAGATCTTGTCCCATGAAAATTAAAACTTGGTAAAATTTGATAAATTTAGTATTTTTTATGATATAAAGCAGTGTTTTTCAACCTGTGGGTCGCGACCCCCAGGTGGATCGCAAAGCCATACATGGGGGGTCGCGGGTAAAAGAAAAAGACAAGTGTTTGTAGGTCCTACACTACAATAAAAAAACTACAATTTCAGTGAGGGCTGTGCCTGTTTATTTTACAGTACAATTAGTTTTTTGATCGATATTTAAATCTCAACAGAAAGAGAATTAAATACGTAGTTTTTAAAATCACTGATATAGTTTTTTAATATGGCTGTGGGGGGTCGCCAGAATTTTTTAACTTGTAAAGGGGTCGCGTATTCAAAAAGGTTGAAAAACACTGATATAAAGAATTATACTTCCTCTGACCCAGAAGTACACACCCCCACCAGGAAAAATGTTCTGGTCATTTATGAAAACCGTTCATTATTGAGGATGTGGAGGCAATGCAAATCAGGAAAAAAAGGTTTTATGTTGTTGGTTTTGCAAAAAAAAAGTTAGAAGATATTCAAGAATTATTGTAGGAGTTACATGAAAAGATTTCACGTGTAAAAAACTGGCTTTGAAGTTCATGCAGTACTGACAACAGTGGCCAACCCATCAATCCCTGTAATTTTCTACCAGCATAAACTGCTTTACATTGTGGCAAATGACTACCAGTGCACCAGTGTCCAACAGGTCCAAACATCAGTCTTTTGTACTACCAAATGTGGGAAAGGCAATGTTACCTCTTGAAATTAGAGAAAGATTATTGAAAAGTATTTATCAGGAATCCTGATGAGAGAAATTGGGAGAAACTTCTCCATTTCTGAATCCTCAGTCTTGTCCTTTTTTAACCACTACAATTCCACTGAATCCATTTTTCCAATGAAAAGTTATGGAAGACAAAAGATTACGTCATAGACAAAGATCACATTCTTATTTGAGAAATCAGTGACCAGGAACATATACAGGGTGTTTCAGTTAAACGTTTTTTCAGAACTTCTAAGAAGGGTAGGATGCATCCTGACGACTCAGAATCATATAGCAATGCAGGGTTGGAAATGCTTTCCTGAAGCAGTGATGTACACAGAAACAGCTAACCTCTGGTGCAGGCTTGCAGAGAAATTATGACTGGGAATATGCTTCATTGGATATCGTTCCGCATACAAGCGCTGTGCATCTGGCCCACTACAATCTGCAGTTCCGTACACCAAATGCATACTGGCTAATTCTGTGTTCTTGTGCAAAATGACGATTCCCTGCAAGAACACACTGAACTTTCGCTCAACGCCATCTACCATGTCAGGAAAGCATTTCCGACCCTGCATTGCTATACGATTCCGAGTCGTCAGGATGTACCCTACCCCTCTTAGAAGTTCTGAAACATTTAACTGAGACACCCTGTATAGAGAATGCATCACTATGGGAAGAAAAGATAGGTAGGCTAGTTCGATCAAAATGATCACTAAAAGAGAATGACTTCATATTGTACAAAGCCAAGCATAAACCCTTACTAATGAAGACCCTATAGAAGATATGGTATCAGTGGACTAGGAATGTCTGTTAAATAAAATCACTACACACTTCACTACAAGCAATACAAAGCTCTAGCCTTATCTTCATTAAATGCAAGAAGTTTTGGTACATCCTGGGCTTGCAAATCAATGTATAAATAGTGTATATTTTATGTTCACTTTCTTGTTTTCTGCAGCAGCACAGTTTGATTGCCTAGACCCAGAATCTTCTGTAAAAGCTCTCACAGAACAGCAAAGAATGATGTTCAGAATTGAAAGTTAGGTGTTTCTGTTCAGTGCCAATTAAAAAAGAAATAACTATGTTCAAAAAGTAGACAGTTTGATAATTGAGAGGGATATAGAACTAAATAAAGGCCAAATGGATGACAACAGTTTTGTTAGTTGTAAGTCAGTTTAACATAAGAATTTACAAAGGTTCAAAACCTTTGTAAATGCATATTATCATAATACAAGGTGTCCCATATAAAATGCAACCTTGATAAACCACTCCCAATAATGTGCCATCTTTGCTGAACACCAAAAATATAATGGTACAGATTGTTCAAATGGTAAAAGGGAGGAAACTTCTGCTAATATGCCATCAGCCAGCCAATATGTTACCTGTGCTTGGTAAACAAAGTTTCAGCCTTCTGTCTTGATTACAAGTGGATAAACTTTGAGCTGCAAGACTTGCAGACATGATACAAAGCAAGTTAAATAAAAGCTTTTAAAAATAATAATAATTGGTAGAAATGACTTTTTTTCATAGTTTAAGTTTTGGATTGTTTATTATCACTTAAAGCAGTGAAGAATAATTGAGAGAGGTTGGAAATGGTTTTAAGAAATTACATGAATTTGAATATTTCAGTTTTCAGATCATACAATTGCAATTTAATAAATATGGGTAATTATTTTCTTTTAAATACAGATTAAATTGACTAAATTTTGAAAATAATGTTTGAATAAGCAAAAATTTAATTATTTTTGAAGTTATTATCATACAGAAATTATGTACCCCATATTATGATGATAATACATTTTAAACTTTTGTTGAAGCAGGAAAAGATGATAGAAGTTTCTTTGCTACACTCTTTAACTGTGATTTATTTATAATGTAGACCTATTCAGATGTATCATATCAGATTTAAGGTCTTGCATGTAGTATCTAGTATTCATTGTATTCAGGACAAAATGATGGCAGTTTTTGATGAATTCTCACATATTACATAGTCTTGAGAACAGAAGCTGCTAAATTACCTAAATGTACAATACAGTATTGCATTTATTGTTGCATTATTTTGTTATATTGGAAGATGCAATAAACATGAAATTTTTGTTTGGTGCTCAGTTATTGATGTGAACTATCTCAATGTTGATAGGTCTGTAACATAACAATAAACAGTGTAGTTATACTAGCTATCCATATCTGTAGTATTTAATAACAAAGCATAGATCATGTGATATGACATAATTTACACCTTAACAATGAGAAGCCCGTTTCAGGCTTATAGAAAATGAGATGATGGTCATTAACACAAAGCCTATAAATAGGCGGGTATTTGAATTGCTTCCAGAAAAGTCTGATGAAAAACTATAGATAATCCTTTCACAATATGACAAATGCTTGAACAATTTTGTTATTCAAATGAATAGTTTTATTTACAAAAATTATTTGACTAGTAGCAACTGGGAGTCTTGCTCTCATGCTTTGTTGCCAATGTTAAAGTTTGTTTTGGTTTACAACTTGTTCTTCCGCTGGTGGTCATAGCTCATTCCAATCTTTTTTCAAGAGTTGCTCACCCAACATTTTTTCCATTCATTGGCAGTTCAGAATACATCTTTACAGTTGATGAATTTCATAGTGTTCTTTGTCACAATCGTTATCATTAATGATGCTTAGAAATAGTTTTTTTCCTGTAGAATGTTTTTGTACACTGGATCATGTTCTGATCTGTAGGTTACAAAACTAAACTTGTTTAATGGTAAAAGCATTGTTATGGTTCCATCTTCCTTTTTAATTTGTTTTCTGATGGGTAGCTAGGAGCATTAGCCAAGATAAGTAAAGCATTTGGAAATAAATGAGTTTTTTGCAAGTGTTCTTTAACTGAAGAAATTGATAGTTGAAGATGAGAATTATTTCTTGAACATTCCTTTGTTCATCCAAATACTTTTCTGCCCCTCATATTTCACTGGAAATGGAATGTTTTTTAAAGCAAATGGTTGCTTTGATTTTTCAATAAGAAACAAGGGTAGTCTAT